TCTGCTTAAGAATGTGTTCTAGATACTCACATCACCTGCAAAGATTCCACAAGCCCAAGGGTTGAAGGGATAGGACCGTTGAGTTCATTGCTGTCAAATAACCTGGCAAAAAGAGGAGAAATGAAGGTTTTCAAACATACGATAATCCAGCCTGTTATTTGATGAAAAGTGAGAAGGAAGGAGAAAGAGGGGAAGGGCAGGTTTCTACTCCACTAGACAAAAGAAGAACATTTGAGGGAAATGGAGGTGAGCAAGAGGGGACACATGAATTTTTTAACCAATCCAATTGCGATATTTGAAAACAATATAATTTAAGTGGTTAAAATACTCATCTTGCCCTTGCCCTCCATTTGCTTCAAATCAAACATACTCAAAGAGATAAGAACTAGAAACAAGCTGCTAAGACTAGCCGCTTCTAGTGCAGAAGGACTATTATTCGTAAGGCAATATTTTTGTTTGTTGCAGAAAATTCCCAGGTTTAAGCCCTCTACTTATTTATTTTCTGGTAACTTATGCAGTCAAAATATAATTAAAGAAAACAAAAGTGAAACTCACACATGCACTAGAGTCATGTTTGAGCTGAAAATTTGCTCCGGAATTTCACCTGAAAGTTTATTCTTTCCCAAATGACTGTGGATAAAGGAGGAAACTTTAGATAATATTATTGCAAAGGAAACAGAAAATAATAAAACAAGTTAAATTAGGATGACAAGTAACATACAAATGCTTGGTATGGACCAACTTGTCAAGGCCAAGTGTAGTTCCATCTGACACAGGAATTGATCCCACTAGTTGGTTGTCAGCCAGATCCAGCCAATATAGATTCGATAGATTACCAATAGATGGTGGAATTTGTCCTTCGAAGTTATTGGAATTTAGAGATCTGCGGGCAATGATGGGTTTCAGAGATGTTGGCTAGCATGGAACTGCTCTGATTAAAATTTGCAATAGTATTGAACAATCAATGCAATTCATAGCAGAGCTGAACTGTGATTACTTAGTGAACCAGTACAAAATTTTCCATCAAGTTTCATTAAACAATGGAAGATCACCACACAAGCAATTTCAAATTGTATGTTTAACCGTCATATCATAGCTCATATTAGAGTAAAAGTTCTCACAAAATGGCCAGCTGTTGTAGATTTCCTATTGTGTCAGGAATTGGACCAGTGAAACCACAGCCAACAAGGTTTCTGTCACAGGAGCACAAAAGCATGTTTGAAGAGAATTGTAAACAATACATTTTCCATAAAGAGAGGACCCAAAAAAAATAAAATAAAATAAAATAAAAATAATAATAGTGATAATAAAGATTAATTAGACTTAGTGACTTACAAGTTTGTTAACTTCCTTAAATTCCCAATTGATTCTGGAAGAGATCCTGTCAGGCCCTTGTTGTAAGATAGATCCCTGCATAAAGAAGCTTGATCAGAGATATATCAATACCTATATTATAACATCCCTCAACAAGTAGTGGAAAAGGTAGGGAGGCATATTTAGCTGACAAAACAGCAGACTATCATGTTCTTCGTATTCTCTGTTATAATCCCCACTAAACTTTTTGTATATAATGTCTAAAGACAATGTGTTTCACTTAAGCCTTAGATTTAAATGAATCTTTAGAAATCTGAGCAGCACAATCACATAAATGATTATTTTCTTAGATGGAGGAGAATGAACAGGTTAGTTTTGAAATGACTGCCATGTGAACTTCAGATAGAGGACCTACAAAGTCTGTAATTCAGTTAAGGATGGAATGTCACCAAACACCTGCCCTTCCAAGCCCATGCTTGGCAATGTTCTGCAACAGATGGAAGACAGGTCAATCCTCAGAAGCTTGAAGAGAAAGAATAAGTGTTCGTCGAAGAGATGGAAATTAACCAAGAACTTACATCGAGGTGACTCGTGAATCCGTGCACTTAATTCCTACCCAGCCATTACCACAAGGATCTGAGCCCAACCAACTGGGGGGGAAGTTCTTGTACTCAGTCTTGAGAGCAATTAGAACAGCAGCTGCACCAGAAAAAAAAATAAATGTAGTTTCACTCGATAAGGCAGTATGAATTTTGGAGTCTGATTTCCCAAGGATTTGAAATCAATTGAGTCCTAGCTAAAATGAGTTTCTATAAGTTTTAACACTTCACAATTTGCAAGAGATTTAATTGCCGAACAATTTAAAAGCCACAAGCATTGAAGAATTAAGACTTGACTAACTTTTTTATAAGTATGTACAAGAAAGAATACGTTAGAAGCAAACTTTGTAGATCAGCTCCTATTTCTGGTTGCAGCCAGCAACCCACAACAACAACTCTAAGAAATTGCAAGGGTAATAACGAGCAATCTAGAAATGAAGATCGTGTCTATAATCATCATTTAAATAAGAAGGTTCTGATATTCAGTATTAATTGACTCGTGGTTTCGTTCCCTTTCCTCCAAATGAAGATGATAAAGAAAAGAAAAAAGTCTGCAGAAGAAATCTCTCATTTCCCAAATTAACAAAAGTTTTGTTAAACAATAATAGTAAGAAGCAAACTTACCATCACCAATATCAGTAACTGCTGCTATAATGTAAAGTTGGATAAAAACAACCAGAAGAAAAAGCAACTGAGATATTGATTCCATTTTTTGAACAGAACAAACAAAAAGGCTTCAAACTTGAGAAATAGACAATTCTCTCTCTTTCATGTACGTAGCGGTGTATCCA